CATGAGAGCAAAGTTGTTTCTCCAGTTATTCAATTTTTAAAAGAACTATATGCTCTGTCTACCGAACTACGACTAGTCAAGAATACTTGAGCTCATTGGAAGCTTCATGTGTTTAAAGATATCTGAAGATGCATATGGCACCTACATAAACCATGAAGTTACAACAGAAGTACAGTATTTAGAAATTGCTTAGTCCTTAGGGTTTTTGCAAAATTGTTACTGAATTTTATTAGACTTTGTATTATGTTAATCTCTACCAAAAACCTTGTTTCTTTCCAAACCATTGCCACCTAAAATTATACATTTTATTTGCCTCTTGTGATATGAAAAAAAGTACTGATTGTTTATTTTAAGCACATCAATTCAGGTCCCACACACTCATTTTAAGGAATAAGCAGGCCATTTTACTGACGTAAAACTTCTAAAAGATTTATTTATCTATATGTAAACTGAAAGCATATTAAACCTCTGAACAGGCTGACAAAGCAACCCTAATGAATTCAAACACATTCATAAGAACAGAACAATATACTATAAAAGGCAACATTTCTGTGCCTGTTTTAGGAACATAAGAATTGCCATATTGAATTACATCAGTGGGCCATCTAGTCTGGTATTCTGTCATCAATGGCCAGTACCAGCTGCTTCAGAAGCAGCACCAGGCAATTATGGGATAACCCGTCCCCAAGGAAAACTTTCTGCCTAGCCCCTGCAATAGTTAGAGGTTGGCTTATGCGCCAAAGTTTCTTCCTCACAGGAAGGATGGTGACAGTATATTTAAATATGTGCATAGTGCTGGTCAGCCTCAGTAGGGGAGATGCTTCCACTTCCTTAATGAGGGGCAGCATTCCCCACCGAGGATAGGTCTACGCTTGCGGTGGCATGCAGGGTACAGAAGCTGCACACCCAGCTAGCACCGGTATAAACAACAACATAGACGATGAGGCACAGCGTTGGCAAGTAGGGTCGAGTACCCTACATGCCTGAACTCTAGGGTATATGCCCTATGTGGCGCTCTACAAGTCCAAGCAGTGCCGTTGCCACAGTGAAACTCCAGCAGCAGGCAAAGGCAGGAGCTGCCAGAGCCTTTCCTCACTGCCTCCCCCTCGCTAGAACTCTTCGTTGCCATGCGTATCTACACACTGCAGCGAGTGTGGATGCAGGCTGTTTTTCACCGTGATGGGTAGACAAGGTCGAAGTTTGAGAGGAGTGGGGGATGGGTGGGGCAGATTTAAATTTTATTAGAGAATATTTAAAAAGTAAACGATACAGAAAATTTGAAGCGTCAGTTATTGGTCATTGGGGACAACATATAGAGTATAGGGGTATGTTGGTGTTTTGGGGTTGGGCAGCACACATAGTATATACAGACTGCAATGTCCCCAATGAGGGGTGGGTAACCGGTGGGCGGGATCAGGAAACAGTCGATAAGCGGTGAGGGTCTATCACCCATACGGGAAGTAGAGACACTCATGGGTATAAGTAAGCGGGCTGGGTAATGGGGATGGGGTGACCCTCACGTGGCGGGATTCAGCTAGGTTTGGTGGGTTCAGGGCTCAGGGGATAGAGTCCAGCAGGGGGTGTGTGTGGGTGCACTACCACTTAGTTCTCCCCAGTGAAGCCAGACATGGCCATTTAGGCCCAGATCCTGCAGTCGGCTCTGAGCAGGATCTGAGAGCGTGTGCAAGGTTAGGATATGTGGAGAGGATCTAGAGGGCAGGGCAGCTCCACATCTGTCCTCGCCGTCACTAGCACTTGGCCTTACCCTTTACCAAGGCTACCCCTGCCGGCTCATGGGGCAGACTCACCTCTTCGCACAGCCCCAGTCAGCCCGGAGGGGGTGAAATCCCGCATTGCAATCCAGCTGGGCAGCTGGCCCAGCTTCACGTCCAGGAGCCTGGTGTCTTTGAGAGGAACTGAGACACAGAGAAAGCCCGTCACTGCCCGTTTGTCGGGGAATAGCTGCAGCACAGGGACACGGACAGCTCCCCCCACCCCCCGGGGGGGACAGGCACGGAGAGAATCACATTGGAGGGGAGCGTATCCGAGAGGTGAGCAAGGCTCTCCGGGGGGATGGGCAGTGAAGCGGGGGCAGGGATCCTGGGGGTGTGGGGATGGGCATAGAGGGCGCGGGGGCAGGGGAGGGCCAGGCACTGGAGGGAGGGAATCCTGGGGGCATGGGGTGGGCAGGACCGCGCCCGGGGCGTCCCTTTTGGGGGGAAGGGGTCACGCTGCGGAGGCCGGGCTAGGGCCAGAGGCGCCCCGCAGGCCCTGGACCAGGGGCTGGGCGGGAACCAGTCTCCGGTCACCTTGGAGCCCCCGGGGCCGCACTCACCGAGCCGGTCCGCCATCTTGCAACTGCGCGGGGTGTCGGTGCGCAAGAGAGGAAGACGGGCAGAACGTGGCGCTGAGACTCACGGGAGGAAGGGCTCAGAAGCCGGAAGTGAGGCAGCCGTTGCCGGCGTGGGCGGGGCGCCATGATAGGGAGGGCGGGGTTGGCTGGCTCCGAGCCACGTGCGAGCAGGCCCTCCCCCGCGTGTCACGTGCAAGGCGACACCCCCTCGTGTGAACAGACCACCCACGTGTCACGTTCAAGGCGACACCCCCTCGTGTGAACAGACCACCCGCGTGTCATGTGCAAGAGACACCCCTGTGAACAGACCCGGGCGTGTCACCTCACTTCCCGGGGCTCTGCACCCCACACACGGGGCCACTCTGTGCTCTCTGGCGCGGCCTTTATTTGATGCCTGACACTCAGCAGGACTTTTCCCCAAATGTTACCCCGCCCGGTGTTGTGTCTGTGTGGGAACGGCTCCATTTTGCATTCAGGGTTGGCGTCCCCATCCCGGGACTCAATGCCTTGTATCAAACTGACATCACTTTTCATGAAAATATCATGACCTAGGGATGCAAGATGAGGGAATCATGTGAAAACGTAGTGACTTGTGGTGACATATGATAACATCTTTGACCCGGGACCAAGCGGTATCACGCTGCACCGGAATGTCTGCACAGTGCATCTGTACATCATCGTGCAGAGAGGCAGCATGAGGACTTCAGTGCTGAACTGATGCAATGCAATGATTTTTGTATGCAAATAAGATCAAGTCACACACAATATCGCCTAGCATCTCAAGGCAAAGACATAGAAACATAGGAATTGCCAGGCTGGATCAGACCCACGGTCAATTCTGGTCCAATGTCCTGCTGCTGATAGCGGCCAATACCAGATGCTTCAGTGGAAGATGTAAGAACCCTGCACTAGGCAAATGTGGGAAACTCTATCCCCCATATTAAGGGCTTGTCTACACTTACCGGGGGATCGATGAGCGATGCATCAGCTAAATCGACCACAGATCACTCTCCTGTCGACCACTGTACTCCACCAGATCGAGAAGAGAAGGGGGAGTCGACGGGAGAGCGTCTCCCGTTGACATCGCGTAGTGTTGGCCCCCGCGGTAAGTAGATCTAAGCTACGTCGATTTGAGTTACGCTAGTCACGTAACTCAAATTGCATAGCTTAGATCGAATTTCCCCTGTGGTATAGACAAGGCCCAAGTCTCATCATCATGGAACCTAACAGAAAATAGCTTAATACATGAGATTTAATATCCCTTCCAAAACTTATCAAATATGATACAGTAGAACCTCAATTTTATGAACACCAATTTTATGAATAAATATGAAAAAATTTTCCTGTGGGAGAAAAACAGTAATCACAAAATAAAAGTGATGCTGATGAAGACCAAGTAAACATCCCTTAACATTCCAGTGCCTTTAGTGCATTAGAAATCACTTTGGAGTGTTTTGAAGGACAAGAAGAAAACAATGCAGCGCACCGTACTGCAACTTATGCACCATGCACCGTATCTTCTGTAATTTTGAGATGTTCTATTTTATTCATGTTTTGATCCTCCGTTAGTTTGTAAAATAAGGGGTCTATTATACCTCTGGATAGTCTTGTTATCCATGTAAAGGTCCAGACCCTTTTATAATCCTGTTAAGTTTTTGGCTTCAATTACTTCCTGTGGCAATGAATTCTGTATCATGTCAGAACATCTTTGTTCATGAAAACATCACGTAGCAATGCACCATCATCACTTCATGTCTGGCCATCATCAAGGCACATGAGTGTTCCCAAGGAACAATGCAGTGTGAGGACACTGAATCCGAATGACATTATGTCATGTGAAAACATCACATGGGTTAGACCAGTGGTTCTCAATCTATTTACCATTGTGGGCTGCATATGCAGCTCTCTATGTGTTATGTGGGCTGCATCCACACAATATATATACTACCTGTGTGGCCCTGAGGATGTCACATGGGCCAGAGCTGTGTGCTGATTGGGCTGCAAGTGGCCCACGGGTTGAGAACCATTGTCCTGTCATGGGAGAATGTTACATGATGTCCAAAGGGCAGCGCCACATGATGAAGTTACATGAGATTGTCGCCACATTATATCAGAACTTTGCAGTGTAATAATGTTTCACAACCCTCCCAAAAGTTATTTGGTGTTAGCTAATGTCTTGCAAGTGACATTTCCAGGATGTGGGATCAGTGCAACAAAAAGAGGACGATCCTCGCACTGTCAGCTCAGATGATATCAGGAGTCTAAGGGCTGGAGAGGGAAAAACCCAGAGCTCTTTCTCTTTTACCATTTCAGAGATACTAGAGAGTTGGAGGGGTTGATCTTTTTTTCTAGCTATGTTCCTCCAGTGTTTCTTAATGTTTCTGAAGCTGAGGACCCACTACTTCCTTCCTCACCCAAAACAGTGTGCATCTAAAATATGTTAATTTTATTCTGGAACAAGCCTGTCACTGCAGAACCTCCAAACTATTTCTGGGCCCTTTCTGGGGTCATGGATTTTGGTTTGTAATTAGCATCTGCCTCTATCCTCCTACTCCTGTTTCTGTTCCCCACACGTCTGTGCTCTCGCCACATCCCCCGTCTGTCTCAGGATTGTATCTTACAGTGTGGTCTCCAATGCTGTGTATGCTCTGCTGTTAAATTACTTATAGGATGAAGGGGGTGAGTTAGGCCCCTAGCTTTTCCTATACTAGTGATTATGTGTCAAGTGAAAAATGAATCACGTGGTCCCATCTTAGTCCCGTTTGGGCTTTTTTTTTACATGTCAAAACCATCCCACCCTTCAGCACCACAGGCGAAAGCGGCCAAGGACTAGTACAGCAGTTAGTTGTAACTAAGAACTGCTATGCCATTGTATAGGCAGAAGCGTGTAAGGATAGTTAGCATATTACCTGCAGGAACTGTGCCTTGCTGTGATGAGTGCTATTTCCTCATTTCCATAAATATTAACAGAGCATCCAGATTTGTTTCATGTTTAATTTTCTTTGCCCATGAGTCACTATTGGGGTCCCTGGGCATGTGTGGGCTGGGCAGCAAGGAGATCTCTTTATGCAGAAGGGAGGGAGGGATTCTGAAAAACTAGATATGATTAAATGAATGATCATTTTAACAAGTAGAAAACCCCAGCAGGTGTCAGCCTTGCTTAGCAGAACTGTTCATCTAGAAATAATCTCTACATTAGCCCGACCTCTAGAGGTTTTAAAACGACATAATTCAAACTCATGAACTAAGCGTTGGGTTTTCTATGAAAGCAAAATGATACGGCAGGAAACAGAGACTAGCCGTCCACCGGTGCCTCTGGAGCGCCAGAGAAGTCCCAAGTTTTGCTCCCACTTATTCTGATAATACTATTCTACAGTTTAATAGACTTTATCCTCAGGGGTTCTACATGTTCGGCTCATATTTTGCCTTAATCAGTTTCTTAACTTAGAAGCATGCTCTCTCCCTTAAATAAGAAAACGGATGGAATAGATTAATGCCAGTTATTTTCTTTTACTTATTAGTAGGAATCAGTATTAGTAAAATGTAATGTGCTCATTCAGTTAAAGGAATTATTCCTCCCCAATTCTCTGTTAAATGAGTTAAAAATCCTTCGATTAAATTAAGTTTTATTTTATTATTGCACTTACCGGTAATGTTTTTTTATTGCAAAAGTGGCCCCTGACGAACTCTCATATGGCCTTTTTCTTGTATTGCTAGACTCTATAGGCTCCGTCCTGCTTCCCTTCCTGAGGCATGTAGTCCTGTTGTCTGAAATGGGACTATTCATGTGAGCAAGGATCATTTGCAGGGGGGAAATCTGTAGGGTCAGGTCCCTGTTCTCAAGCAGTTCCTTTCCTGTGGAAAAGTGCCTGGCACTGTGCAAAGAAGATAATGTCAGGCTGGTGGAAATTAGGGGTGGAATTTAAATCAGCTTTTCTTTTTTTAAGTCTCCAATACAGGTTCACTTAGACAGCAGTGATCTAACCCCTGATAAGAACTGTCCACCTTCTTTTAGACTAGAGTAAGAGTAGAGATAGTCGCTGATTAGGCCCAGAGCCTTAAATTAGGTTCCTAACTTCCATGGAAATCAATCAGAGGTAGGTGCCTAAATAAGTTTTGAGGAGCTGAGTTTTAGTCTTTATACAACCTCAACCCTGAGCGGAGCACAATATTTAACTGATGTAAGTATGTGCAGTGGATCTGTGACACATAATAGCCTACTGAAGTGCTACCCCGAGGCTTTCACTCATTTCTCCGGGGACCTCCTAAATGGTGGGAAGTTACTTCACAAGTAATCGCATGGAAACACCAGGGATTTCATCTTTCAAATATACAGAGTGTTTTGTAAAAGAATTCAGTGAATGCTATGGACATTGCCTAGGGAGGTTGTGGAATCTCCATCTCTGGAGATATTTAAGAGTAGGTTAGATAGATGTCTATCAGGGATGGTCTAGACAGTATTTGGTCCTGCCATGCAGGCAGGGGACTGGACTCAATGACCTCTCGAGGTCCCTTCCAGTCGTAGAATCTATGAATTTTTCTTTTTATGTAGCATCCTTGATTCACAGTATTACAGTATGCTTCATTGGGAAAGCCAATTGTAAGCTAAAGAGTAATGACAGAGGCGGATTATGGTTTTGTGGAACCCTGGGCCAGAGCAAGTGGGGGCCCCTCCCGACCCCTTCCGCCTGCAGTCCGCTCCTGCTGGGGAAATGAGGTCGGGGCGCGGGGGCTTGCCCCGCCCGGTGCTCCTGCCAGGGAGCGGGAGAAGCCCCGCAGGAGCGCCGGGTGGGCGGAGCAGATCGGGGCATGTCAGAGACCATTTTTCCAGGGCCCCTGAATTGGCAGGGGCCCCTGGGCATGGGCCTCATTGGCCCAGGGGCTAATCTGCCACTGAGTAAAGAAAGGTTTTATAGCCAGACGAATAAGAAGTAGTTTAAAATTAATGTTTGTACAGTGCCTAGCACAAAGGAGTCCTGGTCCTATGTGCTATGGTAATACAAATAATAATAATAATCCTTCTTGTGCCTTGTAAAATATTTTGAGATTCTTGGATGATGAGCGCTACAGAATATTATTACTGTATTACTGATGTAGCAGAATGTTTGCATAAATCAAACCAATCCAAACTGTAAAGGGTCCACATACTTAGCTTTTATCATACAGTAATGATACTTTGCATTCCTCTAGCTCCTTCCCTCTGAGGTCCTCAAAGCACTTTACAAACATTAATGAATTAAGGTAGGTAAGGGATATATGAGGACCCCTCCATCCATTGCTATAATGCAGCAGTTTAGCAACACATAGCAGCACTGCTTAGCAATAAGGACAGGAAGTAAAGAAGACTACCACAGCTAACTGAAACTGCAGAGAGAATTCAAGCAGGCAGATTGCAATTATCTGTATTGGAATTTGGTCAGGACACAAGGATTAATTTCCTACGCTAACAAAAAGTACTATGGGATCTTCAATGGCCATGGTGATCAGACCCTCAGTTTTACATCATATCCAGAAGACTGTCCCCTCACCTAACACCTTAATGGACAATTGGTTTACCAATGACTACAGGGGAGGGTACCGCTTAACGAATTGCTACCACAACTCCCTAGAACAGGAAGATGTTACCTGCAGGTCTCCTAGCCAAGTAGTGATGCAACCCAATCCTACTTATCTTTTGAGATCTCGAGGCAACCACAGCAGATGATAGCTTGGCTGCAGGCATAGGGGTAAGGTTGGTGCACACAGGGCATGCAAAATATCAGCAGCCAGCACAATCTGCACTTCGCTATCATTAATGTTTCCTTAGAGTTGCTGCCCTCGCAAGCCGTCATATCCTGGGGCCTCTTCCTCTTCTCTCTTTTGGTCTGAGGCTCTTTGCCAGTTGGGGTTTTCCCTAAGATGAAAAGGAAGAAGAGGAAAATGGCAGCTGCAGAAACATTGGCTGTCTGGGTTGGGAAGGGAAAGAGGAGGCCTGAGACATGACCTGTTAAGACAGAGATGAAGCAAGAAGGGTGGTTGAGACATTTTAGAGAAAGACTGGCCAAGCAGTCTCCTATCTCATAAGCACTTGCTGCTTCTCCATTGTCACGAAGTACAGTGGCTGGAGTAGCACAAGGCCTTTCTTCTGAAGATCTGGAGCTGGCAGGAGATGTTTTCGGGTTATGAGAACTGAAAAGGCTGAGCAGAGCTGAAAACGGGGGCTAGGTTCCACAAGTGGGCATGCAGCTGCAGAACCTGAACCTGATGCAGACAGACTTCTGAATTTTCCAAGTTGGCTTCAGATTTGTAAGGTGCTCAGATATCCGTGGTGGGCATGGTATAAGAATCCCGGTAGGTTAGCTGAGAGTGGATTGCAATATCATTATCCTAGCTTTGTTATTTACCAATCTTGACCATTAAAGTATCTGGCCCTGGTGACTGGGTAACAAATGGCAGATGAAATTCAATGTTGCTAAATGCAAAGTAATGCGTATTGGAAAACACAATCCCAACTATACGTACAAAATGGTGGGATCTAAATTAGCTGTTACCACTCAAGAAAGAGATCATGGAGTCAGTGTGGATAGTTCTTCGAAAACATCCACTCAACGTGCAGCGGCCATCAAAAAAGCTAACAATGTCAGGGGCCATTAGGCAAGGGATTGATAATAAGACAGTAAATATCATAATGCCACTATATAAAGCCATGGTATGCCCACACTGTGAACACTGCATGCAGTTCTGGTTGCCCCATCTCAAAGATATATATTACGAATGGTAAAGGTACAGAGAAGAGCAACAAAAATGCTTAAGGGTATGGAACAGCTTCCATGTATGGAAAGATTGAAAAGACTGGGACTATTCAGCTTGGAAAAGAGAGGACTAAAAGGGGATATAATAGAGATCTATAAAATCATGAACAGTGTGGAGAAATTAAATAAGGAACTGTTATTTACTCCTTCACATAACACAAGAACCAGGGGTCACCCAATGAAATTAATAGGCAGCAAGTTTAAAAACAAATAAAGGGAAATACTTCTTCACACAACATACAGTCAACCTGTGGAACTCATTGCCAGGGGATGTTGTAAAGGACAAAACTGGGTTAAAAAAATTAGATAAGTTAATGAAGAATAGGTCCATCCATGGACCTAGGGATGGTCAGGGATGCAACCCCATTCTCTGGGTGTCCCTAAGCCTTTTACTGCCAGATGCTTGGATTGGACAACAGGGGATGGATCACTTGATAATTACTCTGTTCTGTTCATTCCCTTTGAAATATCTGGCATTGGACACTGTTGGAAGACAGGATACTGGGCTAGATTGCCATTGTTTCTGACTCAGTATGGCCGTTCTTATGGCCCTGTTTTAACTAAGGTGCGGTAAAATGACTCCTGTGATGGATCTAGGTATGCATGACAGTGGATCAATCCCCTATGAACTGATTGAGGTAGTGTGATCTACAGTAGTTCACAGGACAGTTAACAACTAAGAGGTGCCCTTGTTCTTTGCTTGTGAATATATCTCATTTCAGATTTCTGTATATATAGCATTTTCTCGGATGCCAGCCTAAGGGACAATTATACATTAATAGCTACTTCTTTCAGAAGCAGCCAGCCCTGCTCCTGAGAAAGGGCTATTTTCAGGCAGCCCTGTTTCTGCGGAGCTGCTATTTTTAGTGACTTCTATTTCTGAGGGGAAGAAAGCCATTTCTTTATCTCTAAACCAGGCCCCAGACCCATTGGCTGTCTCACATTTTACAATAAACGTTTCCTCTTTACATCTCAGTAGCCTAGGGAAAGTGGATCTCCAGCCATTACACAAAGCAACAATCCAAGCAAGGTCTAACTAGGCAGACAAAGGACTTGCGGGAGCTGGTCTGTGCGCACGTACCTTTGATTCCTTTTCTAATAACAGGGAAATGTAACAGTTCCCTCCTGGAAAATGCAGGACTTTTGGATGCCTCATTTGGAAGTCCAATCTGCTTTCTGGTTTCAACATCCCAAGAGTAATGATTTATCCTGTGCTTCAGGTTTTTGTGATTCAGTCCATCTGTAGGTGTGGTAATATGTGTTGTGCATGTGTGACGGGTCTCAGTCACAACGGGGACACTGCCCTGCGGCCGGGTCTAGGAATTAGCTCTTACCCACTCTGGAACCCTTTTCATCGATTGCTCGCACTGTTCCCCCATCTCTCTGTGTGACTTGGCCCTCCGGGCAGGTCACTATTTAATCCTCCCTTTCCAGAGTATCAAAGTCCCCTAGACAAACTGTCTGCATGCTGTGTCAGGCAGTCTTCCGATCAAAGTGCAGGTCCAGTACCTCTTTCCCAGTGGCTGGTAGGGGAACCTGGATCCACCCACTACTCCGACCTCCAGCCCAGGGACCCTATGCTTAGCAACCGTCTACTCAATCTCCAGCCTTGTTGCTGTTTCCCTGGTCTCCTTCCTACCTCATTTCTCTATTTCCTGCCCCACTGTGGGTTTCCCAACCCAAGCTTTCTCCACTCCCAGTGGCTTCTTCACCCCCTCAGCTTCTTGCCAAATGCTGTAATCCAGGGCAGGATCCCAGGGCTTACACCCCCCCTAAAACTCCTCCTTGTCCCTAGCCAGTTCCCTTTTTCCCTCAGCAGGTACTGCAGAACTCATCCCTGCTAGCAGGGCCGGCTCCAGGCACCAGCTTAACAAGCAGGTGCTTGGGGCGGCCAAGGGAGAGGGGCGGA